ACTCTTTTTTTAGCAGTTTTCCGCTTTAACTAACTCGAAAAAATTCTATTTCAAGAACTTTTGTTATTTTCCTTACTTCTAATATTTCTACTCTTTTTCTAACTGGTCAATTGGTCACAAACTAAATATTTCAGTTTTTCATAACTAAAACATACCCGCTAAAATTTCTAACTTTTAACTAATATTTCACTATTCATAACTGATATTTACGAATTTTCTTTATAAAAATATTCGTATTATAATTTTACACTTTTCGGGAGATTTTACCCCGTACATAAAGTTTTTACATAACATTTCGTAGATCAAGCTGAAAATTTTACTATTTTCTGTTCCGAAAGAAATTATGGTCAAAATGCCAGACTGTCCGAATTAGACCTGAAATTTTTCCGGTCGTTACATAAGTCGTCTTTGAACATTTCATGGGTGGGTCTCCTTCCGGTGAGCATCTCTAGGACAAGGATTCCATAGCTATATACATCCCCTTGTCTTGATGGTTGACAACCCATTGTATACTCTATAGCTCAAAACAATAAACAAACAAATGAGTTTTATGTTTTTAAAATAAGACCACATATATATATATATATATATCCACATATAAATAATAGAAGTCCTGAAGTTAAAGAAACAAAGGTAATTGTAAAAAGAGTTGTTACCTGGAGCAGCATAACCAACAGTTCCTTTTATCCCAATTGTGCTTGTTTGGCCCTCTTCAGATAAGCTAGTGGTGTTTGAGATCAACCTTGCTAACCCAAAATCATTGACATGGGCAGTCATTTCATTGTTGAGAAGAACGTTGCTAGGCTTCAAGTCGCAATGAATGATGGGCTGGTCACAATCTTCATGAAGATAGTACATTGCAGAGGCCACATCAATGGCAATGTTTAGTCTTTGAGTTAGGTTCAATCCCCTTGACTGGTTTTCTCCGCCAATCACCGAATAAAGCCACTTCTCTAGACTTCCATTGGACATATACTCAAAGACTAAAGCCTTGAATTCATTCCCATTGTAATCCACGCTACAGCAACATGTCAAGATCTTAACAAGATTTCGATGCCTCATTGCATTCACCTATGAGGCTTTTGTCTCCTCCTTTCTGTTGAAGATTGAGGACCTTTATGGCAACTAAATTTTCTTCCTGATCAAAACAGCCTTTGTACACAAAACCGAAGGAGCCTGCACCAATCAACATGCTTGGAGAGAATCCACTTGTAGCCTCGTAAAGCTTCTTGTGTGAATCCTTTGACAAAAAGCTGATTGTTAAGAGCTCAGGAAATGATTTCCTTGTTGATTTTCTCCTCCAATAAAAGATAACGAAACCTGAAAACACAAGGAAAATTGCCACCACACAAACTATTATGATTGCTAGTTTGAGACCATGGTTATTTCCTTGTTTGGAATCTTTGGTGGGGCATCTTGGAAGCTGCAATTTTGGTACACCACCACAAAGCTTAGTATTTCCGACTACTGATACTGCACTCATGTTCTGAAATACACCTTTGCTTGGTACTTCACCCTCCAAATCATTGAAAGAAAGATTCAAAGACAACAAGAAACGAAGTTTCTGCAAATCCTTGGGAATTTCTCCCGTCAAGTTATTTCCTGAAAGATCCAAGTGACAAAGGCCTCTTAGAGAAGCCAAAGTAGGAGGCAGAGTTCCTTGGAAGAAATTCCCTTGTAGGTAAAGTGACTCCAAACTCTCACAATTTCCTATGGATATCGGGATTTCACTGCTCAGGTTGTTTTGTGAGAGGTCAAGCAAATAGATATTCTTTAGCTTTCCCACTTCCACGGGTAACTTGCCGCTTAATGAATTGGTTGTAAGTTCATGAATAAGATGGATGAGAGATGACCAAAATGCTCCTTGGGCATAGTTCCACTTAGGCTGTTATTAGAAATGTCTAAATATTGCAGCTTTTGGCAATTCGTGATAGTCACAGGAATGTTTCCCTCTAAGTTGTTACTTGAAAGATCGAGTTTGAAGATATTGGACAGATTTCCTATGGATGAGGGGATTTTTCCTGTTAGGATGTTCGATTCCAAAACCAAAAGCTGCAGATTTTGTAGCTTCCCCAAAGGAGGAATGACACCTGTGAAGAGATTAAACTCCAGGCCCAACATGGTTAAACCGACTAAATTTTCTAAGGTTTCAGGGATATTTCCTACTGTTTGATTGACTCCAAGAAGAAGTCCAGTGAGTTGGGTTGACAAATTGGCTACAGACTTGGGGAAAACACCTCCCAAATTGTTCCCAGTCAAGGACAAAGTTTCAATTTTGCTGCAATTTGTGAAAGATGCAATAAAGTCCAAGCTATTAGGTGATTATCTTCCTAGATTATTATAACCAAAGCTGAGCAACCTATGATTTGGAAGATTGACACCCAAAGTAGTTGGAACCTGACCGACAAAATAGTTATTGCTAATATCAAGCATTTGGAGTTGAGAGACATTGGCCAATGATTTCGGGATTGTCCCAGATAATTCATTATTAGCAAAGCCAAGATATTGGAGATTAGGGAGTGTGAGACCTATGTTGGAAGGAAGAGTGCCATTAAACCGGTTATACAGAATAAATATGCTCTTCATAAAAGACATATTGTAAAAGGAAAGAGGGATTATACCAAACAAAAAGTTGACTCCTACTCTAAAATGAGCTAAACCTTTCACTCTACCTAGCTCATGAGGAATATTTCCAACCATATTGTTATACGAGACACTAAAAATCTTGAGCGATGAAATGTTCCCCAAAGAAGCCGGGATGCCTCCTGTGAGATTGGTTCTGTAAAGAACAAGCATCTCAAGCTTCATCAAGAATCCAAGCTCCAAGGGCATTGTTCCAGACAGTCTGTTATCTCTGAGAACTAACATCTGGAGTTGTGAGCAGGAGCTCAAGCTGAGCGGAATTCTACCTTCAAACATGTTGTGACTGAGATTGAGTTGTTGCATGCGGAACAAATGACCAACTTGCTGTGGAATTTCACTAAACAAGTTGTTACCTCCGAGGTCAAGAATCCTTAAAAAGGAGAGGTTGCCAATGTAAGGCGACAAGGTTCCCCGCAGGTTATGTCCCTTCAAGTCAAGTGCTGTTATCCTCTGGTGGCGGCGGCTGCATGAAATTCCAGACCAGCTGCAAAAGTGAATGGAGTCATTCCACGAGCTCAGGATTGGAAATCAATTCTTTGAATTTGAGAAGAGCAATCCTATCAGTTTCATTTCCTGAGGCATTGGCCATTATACTGTTAGGTTGCAGTAATAAGCTCAGAGAAAAGAGAAGAATCACATGGAGGAACAAAAACCAAAAAGCAAATGCACCAATGGGGCTGTGAAGAGCCATTTGTTGGTGGGGAATTAAGGAGGCAGCTAACAGTGGAATTCCTACTTCAAGGCAGAGTTAGGAAAGAAGTGCAATGGAAAATGGAGGTGATCTGTTATGTTTAATAAATGGGAGATTTGTATTGTGAAGAAAAGTGGAAGAAGAATACAAGTCAAGTGATTATCAACAAGCTTATGGACAACTATACAAACTCAAGTGTGAAAGTGCAGACAACGGGATATTCACGTTGAGGACTTTTTTTTTTCTTTTTTTTTTTTTCGATTGACGTTTGCGTGACGATGGTGGAATGACTTGAATCGCAAAAGTTGCTGCGAACATGTAGTAATGACTTTTCGGTAGAATCCTTGTACTACTTTTTTGTTTGGATCTTTGATTGATCAAATTTAATATGATGGTGGATTTTTCTCATTGTTAGCCTCCTTAAAGTATGTTAAAGCTTTCATGATCTGGCGGAAAAAGATACAACAATAACGCATTTATGTAGAAAATACACAGTCCACACACAGTTGATATTGGGCTATTTGAATTGACAAAGGTGTTAAAAAATAAAAAAATAAAAAATCTTCAAGACAAGTAAATGTACTTTTACATAAGATAGCTAGCTATGTAAAGATGACTAATAACAGTACTACGAAAAAGAAAAGGATTATTAGCACTGTTATACCTTGAATTATGTAACATATTATTGAAGCAATTTAGTATTATTTTTTTTTATACAAACTAGCTGCTCCCAAGATTCGAGCGTGAGATTTCTTCTTTAAACCCATCCCACCTTTACCAACTGGGTTAGCATCAGTTGAAGATTTTAGGATTTTTTTTTTTTTTTTTAAATTTAACCAGTCAAAAGGGTTTTATTAATCTTTTTCCAAAATGTGGGAAATATATATATGTATAAATATATATATATATATATATATATGAAATACATATGTATATATTGTGGGTAACAATGTCTTCAGGGAACTCTTTTTTTATTAAAATAAAAAAGTGAAATACTTTAATAAATATAAGTGACGAGATTTTGCCTAATGAACCTGAAAAGTTCAAAGGAAAATAGCCTTGAGAAATGACGACAACAAATTTAAAAAGGACAATAAGAAGAAAAACGACAACAATCAGAAAATCGAAGTCTGAACTCAACACATACACAACATTAATAATTCAATCTCTCTTTTTCATTCCAAAGTTTGATCAGCTTAACACAGAAATTGGTTTGCCGATGAATTTCTTCCATCAAAAGTATGTGCAAGTACAAAGGCCAAAGTCTATGTTTCATTATTGTTAGTTAGCTGCTTTTAGGACTGCAACTTGTCCACGTGTTAGATAATTGTTTTATGCTTCCTTAAATGTGTCCACACGTTCTTTATGTTTCCTTCAATTTGTCCACGTGTCATGTATGCTTCCAATTTATTTGTTTTGAGTTGGTCCTAGTCTTTAGGAAGTAGTTAGTTTGTTCTAGACGTGTTGCAGTTTATGGCTTGATTCTCGGCCACTATGTTAGTTGTTCAGTTTTTGTTTTTTATATAATGTAAGCTTGATGCATTATGAATTAAAATAGAATTCCCAGTTTGCATTCCCGTATATCTTCCTCTTGTTTTTCATCTTTAAAACTAACAATTGGTATCAGAGCTCTCTTCTTAAGGGATCTGTGTGAGTTTGACAAGTCATGGAAGCCGAAGCTAGTTTCTCATCCATTGCTCCACCGGTGTTTGATGGAGACAACTACCAGATTTGGGCAGTACGCATGGAGACATACTTGGATGCTTTGGATCTTTGGGAAGCAGTGGAAGAAGACTATGAAATCCCTGCACTTCCAAACAATCCCACCATGGCACAGATCAAAGCGCAGAAGGAGAAGAAGACAAAGAAGTCAAAGGCCAAAGCATGCTTGTTTGCTGCGGTGTCATCAACAATCTTCATGAGAATAATGTCCCTTAAGACAGCTAAGTCTATATGGGATTATCTCAAGGAAGAATATGCAGGTGACGAAAGGATCAGAGGAATGCAGGTCTTGAATTTGATAAGGGAATTCGAGTTGCAAAAGATGAAGGAATCTGAAACAATTAAAGAGTATTCAGATAGACTTCTCAGAATTGCAAACAAAGTGAGGCT